TATGTGGTGCTTTTTGCATACCAGGCACTGTTCTGAGGGCTCTGCAGATATTAACTCATTTAATTCCTCGTGGTGGTTACTATCATTCTCATTTTATAGATAAGGAAACAGGCAGAGGGCAGCTAAGTGCCTGCTGGTTAGTGATGGAACCAGGAGCCAAACCCAGACAGTGGCTCCAGGGTCCGCCCCAACCTTGACACTCAGTGTGGGAACACTTGGCGAGGCAGACGTCGAGTACTTGCTCAGAGACATACATTGGCAATCCCAAGGGTCTCTGGGCACCCTGGCTTTTGGAGCTTAAGTGTGATGAGCAGAGTTGCTGTCCTGAAGCCACTTTTGCCTTCAACATTCACCCAGTTATTTGTGCTTTGCACCCTCTCCTTAGTAAAGCTCCCCAAATTTTCCAGGCAAAAGCACCACTCCCAAGAAGGAAACCTGTCGCCCGGCCGGGCGTGGCTCAGCGGTTGAGCATCGACCTAGGATCCAGGCCATCAGGGTTCGATTCCCGGTCAGGGCACATGCCCGAGTTGTGGGCTGCAGCCGATCAATGACTCTCTCATCATTGATGTTTCTCTCTCTCTCTCCCTCTCCTTTCCTCTCGGTGAAATCAATAAAAAATATATTTTTTTTTAAAAAAAGAAGGAAACCTGTTGACTGCAGCCTAGGGCAGAAAATCAGGCTGCTGCCCTTTGAAAATGGGTCTTCAGTTTAAGCTGTCATCTGATTTGATCTGGTTGAGCCAGCAATCTGTATATTTGCCTGGGTGTTTTGACAGTGAATTTATGTACCCAGGGCTCTTTTACTGGCAGTCTGAAAGGGCATGAGAGGTGCGTGTCCCACACTCACATGAGCCGTGTCCACAGCGTGTGCTCATGCTCAGAGCATTGAGAAAAGCCAGAATTTTTCAGAAGCTGTGTGGTAGTGAGGGAGCAGGAAGTATACAGCTTAGACCGTATCTGGGTAGGATTCTGCCAAACAAATTCCTACTCACCCTTCAAGGCCCCACTCAACTGTCCCCTCCCTCATGCTGTCTTGGCAGACATGTACTGAGTGTAGCATTTTGACACATTGCACTGGCTGCAAACTTTTTTTTTTTTATAAATATTACAGATGTCCCTTTTTCTCCCCAATGACCCATTCCATCCCATCCCATCCCCCTCCCCAGTCCCTCTCCCCACCATTGTCTGTGTCCTTGGGTTGTGCATATATGCATATAAATTCTTTAGTTAATCTCTCCCCCTCCAC